GGCCAAAAAAACCCTGGGGAATTCCTGGAAGCCTGGTACTCAATCAGCCATCGACAGACACACAGAGATAAACCACACTTACACACCATTCGAAAGAGACAATAGAGTCTACAGCACGCAATGTAAGGACTGTAACAGTCACACCGTAGGAAAATCAGGCAGAAGGTTAGCAAAGCACATCCATGAACACCAGCTGGAAGACCCAATGAAGACACTCTCACAACGCCTGGGCAGACTTCTGCTGAATAGTTTCTACTGTGCCCATCGTAGGCCAAAAAAACCCTGGGGAATTCCTGGAAGCCTGGTACTCAATCAGCCATCGACAGACACACAGAGATAAACCACACTTACACACCATTCGAAAGAGACAATAGAGTCTACAGCACGCAATGTAAGGACTGTAACAGCCACACTGTAGGACAATCAAGGGGGAAGATTAGCAAAGCACATCCATTGTGGAAGACACAATGAAGACACTCTCACAACGCACGGGCAGACTTCACCATAATTTCTACTGCGAGCATCCTACACCAACCAAAATCCCAAAACCCTAGGGAATTCCTGGAACTCAGGCAAGTTAGCCATCGACGGACACACAGGGATAAACCACGTTTACACACCATTCAAAAGAGACAATCAAGTCTACAGCACGCTATGCAAGGACTGTGGAGCAAAACCGTAGGAAAATCAGGCAGAAGATTAGCAAAGCACATTCATGAACACCAGTTGGAAAACGCAACGAAGACACAACGCATGGGCAACCTGGAAACCTGGCACCAGACTATTTAGGGCTGTTGGCACTGCCATGTACTCAACCCTCATTGGCTGGTGGAACCAAGGCTGCCTTTGACCCAAGACCATCAGATCCAAGCTGGCCCGGAAGCCATGAACGCCCACCCACCCGAAATGTGCTACTCTGAGATACCCCGAGAAGGTATCTTCTGCTTCCTTCAGCTGAAGAAGACCCCCCCACAATCGTACCCGCTTCCCGTCAACTCCAATCCCCCGAGGTTTAATGGTAAGAGGACTGCCTTCCCCACCTCCTGCATCTTGTTCTCGTCGCTGTTCATGATTCGAATGCGCAGCACCAGCTTCTCGGCGTTGTCATCGTTGAAGATGCAGTTGAGGTCATCTCCAAAGCCTGCGGAAGAACAAAGAAGGGGTTGTCCATAGGCTGCCGGTGGACAAGGGGAGGCAAAGGATAGCGGGAAGTCCGGCCATCAACCCCTCCTCACCGGCGTTGATCTTCTCGGCGATCTGCTCCATGGTGAGCTTCCGGTCCGTCATGTGTTTGCGGTCCAGCTCCACCCGCAGCAGCCAAGGGGAGATGCGGGTGACGTCGAAGTCGGGCATCTCGTAGTAGACGTTCACCCACTCCTGGTCCTCGGCCACCACGGTGTTCTGAGGGTTGGGGTCGTAGTAGATGGCCGTGTTGGCCGTGACCTTGCGAAGGGTGGTGTGCTCCAAGCGGCAAAGGATGTCCTGGGATGGAGACACGGAAAGACGGTGAGGCTGGAGAGTCAAACCTCGGAAGGGACTTTCTTGGGGAGGTCCTACAACTGGAGTGTGGCCACCCATTTGCAGTGGGCTCTCAAGAGATCATCATCATCATCATCTCCTTCTAGCGACCCCATAATCGCTTGCAGAATGGAGTCTGGGGAACAGAATGGAGCTAGCAGTGTGTTTTACTGGCCGGATGCCTTTCCCTGTTGCCAATACAGAGTTATATTCAGCAGATATGTTCTCATTGTACCGAGAGAGAGAGGTATCTGCCTCTACCTAGGATCGAACTCACAGCCTCCTGATTGGGAGGAAAGAGCTCCACCTCCTTGGAGGTAGAAAATGTTGAGGGCTTAACCCACCACCATCTTCAGGCTAAAATTCAGGCCCGCCCTGAGTTGGGAGAGAGGCCTCCAGCACGGGCGCACAGGGACAGTCTGAGATTCCCTCATCCTCCGCAGAGCCAAGGCCAACGTCACCCCCAG